TATGTTATATAATTAAACTATAAATACAGTTAAAATGTTTATATATCAAATAAATATGATTAGCATATCCCATGTAGAATTTTATTTGAGTCATTAAAATGAAACGTGTTCTTCAGCGTCTGACTCCCATTGGGCTTTAGGAAATTTTGTATGTAAATTTCTGACATGTAGGATTCTTTTTAGTATAATACAAGTGAGGGCTGAGCTTCAAGCCCTTGTATTTAGTGACACCGAAGCCTCCAGTCATTCCTGTGGCTTCTCACGGAAGTACCCAATGGTGACGAGTCCCGACCAGGCAACTGCTGGGCTACACGGCACAGTATTCTCAAGAGGAGTCTGGCCCCAGCAGCCCCACAGGGATAGAGCCCGGCAACAGGCATGGCCCTGGGAGAGCTGTTCAGAGAGCAGTGTGTCACGTGGTGATTAAGCTAGAAAGAAGAGGACCAGTTCTGTGCAGCACACACCGGGCATTTGCAGCACTACCGAATCCTTCAGCTGGATTTGTTGATATTGCCCACATTTGAGATAACTGACTTTGGAAAAGGTATGGGATTAATAAAATGAGACACCATGCTCTACAATAATGATGGCAAGAGAGCTGAGTGACTAATTTCTGAGGTTTTCGTTTCATGAAAAAAATCAGAGAACCAGTTAAGAGCTAGGTGTGGTGGCTTACTCCGGTCATCCCATTGCTTAGGATGTAAACAAGGAGCCTGGGAAGGTAGGGAGAAGGTCAGCATTCCTCCTGACAGCCAGCCATTCACTCCCACTGCCATGACAGATGCTTCTGTATGTGCTTGAATTTAAAATTGGTTTTGCTCTATCTTACGTGGTTAGATGTTATTGTAAGTATAAGCAAAAGGCAAATTATTTTTATCACTCGTTTACTTTTACTTTATGTATATGCATGTTTGCTTGCATGTATGTGTGTGCACCATACATGCACATACATCTGCCTGGTGCCCATGGAACCAGAAGAGGGTGGTGGATTTCCTGGAACTAGACTGAAGGGTGGTTGTGAGTTGCCACGTGGTTGCTGGGAATGGAACAGTAGTCATCCGCAATAGAAGAAAGTGCTCCTGACACTGAGTTTTCTCTCTAGCCCCCGAAGGCAATTCTTATTTGGGATGTGTATACTACACTTTGACAACTGTGAAGAGTAAACATTAATTTGATGACATATATTATATGCGTACAATATATTCTTGCTACCCAGGAGTAGTGATATCTATATCTATATATACTTCTATTATTCCAGTACTCTGGGGGCTAAGACAGGAAGATTACAACTTTTAGCCCAGTGTGGACTACATACCAAGACCCTGTTTCAAAGCTTAAGAAGGAAGGAGAGAAAGGAGGGAGGGAAAAAAAATAATTTAAGTTTTATTGAATCTGATATGTACTTAAATCCATTTTGTATGACTATGATTGGGCAGCTGCTCTGTGTACATGGAACCATGGCCATACTCTGTTCCTTCAAGGAAACATGCTCATTCTAAGTGGTCTGGGCACATCTCTGTTACCTCCAGCTCTCTAGACCTTAATGATAAAACCTTGTCAAATCCTTAGCTTGCCTTCTCATGCACCAAAACTGTGCCTTTCATCACCTTCAGAAGCCATACTTGGTCAGAGTGGTTAATGTTTCATGTTTTTGCCAGGTAGTGGTGGCGCATGCCTTTAATCCCAGTACTCGGGAGGCAGAGGCAGGTGGATCTTTGTAAATTCGAGGCCAGCCTGGACTACGGAGAAAGATCAAGGAAAGGCGCAAAGCTACACAGAGAAACACTGTCTCGAAAAAAAGAATGTTTCATGTTTTCACTTTGTGTAGATGGATTTTTCTTTGGGCTGTCAGCTCACAAGTCACAACATGGAGACTTATTATTAATTATGAAAGGTTGGCCAATAGCTTAGGCTTGTTTCTAACTAGTTCTTATAACTTAAATTAGCCCATTTCTATTAATCTATGTCCTGCCACATGGCTCGTGGCTGTTACCTCTCTTCCTGTACATCCTGCTTCTTCTGTGTCTGGTTGGCACTCTGTCTTTTTCTTTCCAGCATTCTTTCTACCCTGAAAATTCTGCCTAGCTATTGGCCATTTAGCTTTTTACTACACTAATCATGGTGACATTATTTTCACATAGTGTAAAGGAATAGTCCACAACTCTGTCTTGTAGCTGTTGATGATAATACCATGACAATTTGTAATAAATACTTGTCCTAGTCACTGTTCTGTTGCCGTGAAGAGACATCATGACTAAGGCAACTTATAAAAGAAAGCATTTAACTGGGGGCTTGCTTACAGTTTCAGAGGGTGAGCCCATGACTATCATGGTGGGAAGCATGGCTTGGGAACAGTAGCTAAGAGCTCACATCTGACCCACAAGCAGGAGGCAGAGAGACAGACAGAGAGAGCATCAGAGATACAGAGAGACCCAGACACAGAGGACAGAGACAGAGACAGACTGGGCCTGGCATAGGTGTGCCACTGGGGGTGACACTCCAACAAGGTCACACCTCCTAATCTTTTCCAAAACAGTTTCACTGCTGGGGACCCGAGTGTTCAAACATGTGGGGAGGAAGGGGTTTATTTGGCCAACACTTCCGTGTCAATCTATCATTAGGGGACATCAGGACAAGAACTCAAGGCAGAAGCCTGGAGGCTGGAACCATGGAAGGATGCTGCATACTGGCTGGCTCCCTGGCTCACGCTCTGCTTTCTTTAAAAAAATCTTTTAAGATTATTTGTTTTGTTTTGTGTGTATGAATATTTTGCCTGGGTATGTGTACTATGTATATGCTTGATACCAGGTGGGGTCAGAAGACGTGATCAGATCCCTTGAAACTGGAATTATGGATGGTTGTAAGCCCCCATGCTGATGCTGGGAATTAAATCCAGGTTGTCTGGAAGAGCAGCAAGTGCTCTTATTTGATGAGCCATCTAACCTGATTCAGCTAGCTTCCTTAGACAACCCAGGCCTACTTGCCTAGGGATGGTGCTGCCTATAGTGGGCTGGGCTCTTCCACATCAATCATCAGTCAAGATAGTCTCTTGGGGACATGACCATAGGCCAGTCTGATCAAGAGAATTCTTCAGCTGAGATCCCCTCTTCCCAGGTGACTCTAGGCTATATCAAGTTGACAATCAAAACTAACTAGATCATACTTTCTTGGTAGCACCCATTGTAGATATGGTCTAGTCCTTTCCTAATCTCCTGGGACCCAGAAGAGAGAAGAACACTTCTTATAGGGGACGCTGGCAGAGGTAGCCCATGGTGCATGCCTAGGCACTTAGTGCCCACCGTCCCTTCATAGTTTGGTATATTGGGTACATATTCTGACCGTAGGACGTTATGAAATAGTCAGAGAACGAGGCACTCAATCCACTGGCCTAATTTTGTGGTAGGATCTGCCAGCTATGATAGTTGTTTGATTTTCCACCCAAGGAGGCAGAAGATTTATTTTAGAACCTGTGCTGATACCATCTTGGGCTGCTTAACTGTTTGTCTCATTAACATCTAATTCTGTTTCTTCATATTTTCACGGTCAAGGGAATCTCAATAAAAAAATCATCATGGTCACAAGAAGGCAGCTTTTTGCCTTGGCTTTGAGATGTCCCAGACTTGGATCCAGTCAGGGACAATCTATGCCAGCCTGCATATTTTTTGACCTGTGGTCACTCTGGATACACCCTGACTGTGGTTCCTACCTCCTCATCAGGTCCTTTCACATCACCTGTGTATGGTGTGGGTATAGGACACTCCAGTAGGGCAGGTGTACCAACACTCAGCTCTCCTTTTTTTGTCTCAAGGTCCTTTCTGTGGTTTATACATTGCATTCCTGAGAAACTTGTGGTTGTGAACTGCAGAAAAAGTGAGGATTTGTGGCAAGGTTTTTACCCTTGCTCCTTGGTTTCATCTGGCTTCTCTTGTCATCCTTGGATATTGGCTCTGTGTTCCTCTATCAGGGTTTTCCTCCACCCCCAACACACACACACACACACACACACACACACACACACACACACACACACACTCACACACACACACTCACACTTTCCTTGCCAGCTTTCCCAGCTCTGAGATCTGTGATGGTCATTTTTACCTCTCTTTTGCGTTTCTGGGGCCCAAAATGATTTTCAGCGATTTCTCCCCCTTTATCTTGTAGGCTCTTGAGCAAGAAGCCAAGACAGAAGAGAGACCAACCATGCCTTCTGGAGCTGCAGAAACCGAAGAAGGTATGCCTGCCCCTGCCCCATGTTGGGAACCCAGAAAATGCAGGGGTTGCTAACGAGTCTGTTGAAGTACACAGTGAAGCATAGCAGGAAATAAGGTGCATAGAAACAAAGATCTGGGGTTGTGGATACAGCACACCCCTGGCTTCTTATTCAGCTAGCATTTACCCATTTGCTAGCACTGGGCCAGGTCCTTGTTGTCCAGATCTTCAGAGTTCCATCTCAGCCTTTTTTTTTTCTTTTATGTGTGTGTGTGTGTGTGTGTGTGTGTGTGTGTGTGTGTGTCTGTCTGTCTGTCTGTCTGTCTGTCTGTCTGTCTCCCCATGACCTGGTTTCCTCTTTCCAAAGTTAGCTTTGTTCCTTCTTTCCTTCCTCAGTAGACCATATGCTGTTTTGCTCATTGAAGCTTTGTGTAACTCTTCCTCTGGGCTGGACTGGTGGATCTTCACGGGGATGCTTCCTCATGTTGGCATGAGGAGCGGACAGTACTGCTATCATCTAGAGAGGAGGTACCAGGGGTGTTTGTCAGGGTGCAGAATGCTCCTGAAAACCCAGGAGTCAGTCCTGTAGAGCCTATACCAAGTTTGAATGCAGTTCTGCTAATGGGAAGGTTCCCACTCTAAGGTTTTATATATGTATATATATAAATATACATATATAAAATATATACACATACATATATATGTATATATGTATGTATGTGTGTGTATATATATATATATATATATAGTTTTTATTATTCCACATCAAGGCACAAGGAATCACTCAGCCACCCTTTTTCAGAGCACTCAATTTGCCAGCAGGAATGGCATTGCTCCTCATTCTGTTCAACATGGCAGGGATTTGGGGGGGTGCATGTAAAAAAAGCCTTACTGTAGTTCACATATTTTCCCTATACAAATAATTCTGATAGTAAGTTGAATACTAAGCATTTTTTTGTAGGAAGCATTTTTACATGGCTTTGTGCACATTATTGTGTTTCTCATGTGAAATAAAATCTTAGTTTCCCTCCAAATCCAGGCGTTACACAAACCATTGTGTGCACAGGAAACCATTGTGTTTTGTTTGTTTTCAACATAAACGTGTATTGGGGAGGGTGTGGGGCGGGGGCATCAGCCCTTCTTGGTCCTGGCCTTCCTCATGGCCACCAGCACGTTGCTCAGTTTCTCTTCCTTTTGGTGTGCATGTGCGTGCATGCCCACCCTCTTCTTGATGAACTTGGGCGTGTGCTTGTCCTTGGACACCTTGACCAGTCCAATGGCATGCTGCTCGTAGGGCATGAAGCCGCACACCTCCTGGATCATGTCCCACATGAACTTGGTGTCATGGGTGAGGCTGCGGTGCTGGCTATGTCCGGGCTCGCTGATGTTCTTTGTCACCTTGCTCTTGTTGAGGTCCACAGCCATGGAGTCACCCAGGGCCATGACTGCTCTGTGATGGCGGCTGCTACAGCACAGGAAAACATTGTTAATGATGAACTACAAATGATCTCCTTATCAGTTTCTTTTGCTGCATATTTTAGCTAGGGTATTATATTCATGTTTTAGCTAGGGTATTACATTGATTTCTTTTTGAAAGTATGTGTACATATACGGTTATTCTTATGTCTGTGGAGTAGAATTAATTATCAATTTAATTTCGGGATAGTGATGGGACTTCATGTGCTATCAGAGAATGTAAAGGAATGCCGGTCTGATGGCAGTGAGAAGCACGGTCCCAGATGCTGGAGTCAGGGACAGATGTGGCCGAATCCTTGTTTCTCTGCCGTGGGTGTTCACAGCTGGTTAGTACTTGATCCTGCATTTAATTAGCAGCACAGAGCGGCTGCATTCCCAGTAGTTGACAGACAGTGTAACTTTAGGGTCTTTGCCTTTGTGTTGGCTGAAAAGAAGCCTTGGAGAAAGAGTGTTTATGAAGAGTGGCTGGAGTCTGTGTGGCATCCACACACACTTCACCTGCTGCTGGGTTGAACGAGCTCCTGAGCTTCCTGGGCCTGGGGTAGGAGGAATTGCCTTGGCTCTGCTCTGTGACTGTTGATGCTGGCTGCTCTGCCTGCCCTAGGAGGTAGTCTAGGGGATGTTAGTTTTCTCGTTGAAGATTACAAGAGAGGCTGAGAGACTTCTTCCTGGTCTTGTGTCAGGACCGCTGGCTTCCCCTAAGCTCTGGCCCACTTTTGCTGTGCCAACTGTAGCTGATCGGGTTTCTTACTTGGCTGATAGACATACTTGGCAGTGAGTTTCTGACTTGCCAGTTCCGAGTACTCACTGCATCTTTCTATCACCTTTATTTCTTAAGCCTCCAGCCCTTTTAAAAAGTCAACTTCTGATTTTTTTTTTTAATAGAGATTATCTCATGCATCTTTCTTCCCTTATTCTCCACCTTTAAACTAATTCAGAATAAAATGAGGTCTAAATATGTGTTAGATTTTGGAGTTCTTGAGCTGGGGGTGGGTGGGTGTGATGGGGGTGTGGGGGGAGGGGCTTGCAGTTGTGGCTGGACAGGAAAACAAGCTCTCCAGGCACAGCATGGGAAGTGCTCCATGAGTCATTTGCAAATATTGCTTCAAGCATGTTGTAGCCTGTGACAGTGGCATGGCCAAGGCGGGTGTCATGGAAGCTATGCCCCTGGAGTTGGGATCTTAGTGAGGGCAGGGATTCCAGATAGAGGAGATGAATAGGGAGAATGCAGGCCATTTTCCCATCGGCACACCCATGTGTGGTGGTAGAAACACCAAGAACACGGGCTTGAGAGCAGCCAGGTGGGCAGGGCTTCGGAAGACTCAAGGGGCGGAGCTTCCTCCTGAGAATTCTGGGAGCTGTTTTAAACAGCTGTTTGGCAAGGTCACTCTGGGAGAATGGCGATTCCAGTTGAGGGTCCAAATGGAAGGCAGAGGACTGGCCAGAGGACTCTAGAAAGCCATGCAGAAGGGGTATACCATGGCAAGCTAAGGCCAGGGGTGAGGTGGGGCTAGATGAATGCTGTCTTAGGCAAGGTGGGGCTAGAGGAATGCTGTCTTAGGTGAGGTTGGGACAGATGAATGTTGTAGGGAGTGAGATGGGTGTTGTGGGGAGAAGGACGGTTCTGTGTCTGGGGCGTGTTTCTGGCCTAGAAAGTAGGACTGTGACCCATAATGTACTCAGTTTTAGACAGGTTGAGTTTGATGGGTCTATGGGATAATCAAGCAAACAGAACAGCAGGCACCAAACCAAAAGAATTTGGCAAGAAACCCAAGTCCACCAGGTCCACATAACTAACAGGCAAATGTAGCCCTAGACTGCATTGAAGCATTCATGTCAGATGCTGTTTGTACCTCCCAGTAGAGGGCAGTGTTCCACTAAAGTGAAGATACTTGGGTCTCTTCTTTTCAGATGCCTACACAAGACTCCACTGGAAGAACATGCATCCTGCAGATAAAAGTGTCCTCTTTTATTTCTTCTTAATGCTGAACTGATGGTCTCTTTGAGGTGCATCAGAGATTAGATAGGTTGCGCCCCTCTCTTCCTGCTGTGGTAGTGAGTTGAGGTGGAGACGCTGTCGCTGTCATAAAGAACTGTAATGACTTTAGCCTGGAAATTAACTTTGCTGTCTTTGTGAGTGTGATAAATGATTTTATTATTATTCTTGTGAGCCAATTATGGTTTTATAATTTTATGATTGCAATTGGACTTGGAGAATAATGGCGAGTTATTCTGGACAAATTAAATGGCTCTGTCTAGTCACTGTTCTACTGCTGTGAAGAGACACCATGACCAAGGCAACTCTTTTATAAAAGCAAGTATTTGACTCGGGCCTTGCCTACAATTCCAGAGGTTTAGTCCATTACAGTGTGGAGCATGGCAGCACCATTGGCAGCACCCATGGTGCTGGAGTAGTAGCTAGGAGCTACCTGCTGGTCTGCAGGTGGTGTGTGTGTGTGTGTGTGTGTGTGTGTGTGTGTGTGTGTGTGTGTGTGTGTGTGTGTCAGAGAGAGAGAGAGAGAGAGAGAGAGAGAGAGAGAGAGAGAGAGGGAGAGATTGAGCCTTGAGCCTGGCATGGGTCTTAACACCTCAAAGCCCACCCCTCACCCCCAGTGACACCCCTCTTCCAGCAAGGACACACCTCCTAATCCTTCTAATCCTTTCAAAGAGTTCCATCAAATATGTGAGCCTATGGGGGCCATTCTTATTGAAACCACCACAGACAAAGTCATTGAGAAGAAATAGGCTCCGTTTTCTCTCTTGCCTTCTGGACTTTCTTTTGTTTTATTCCCCCAATTCACTGAGAATGAGTCTCATGTAGACCAGGGTGGCCTTAAATTTGTTATGTAGCCAAGGATGACTTTAAATTTGTTATCCTCCTGCCTCCACCTCCCAAGCTCTGAGAGGTTACAGGTGTGCACCACGCGTCTACTTTACACCCTAGGATTTTCTGAGGAGCAATGCACAGAACTAGAAGATGTTCTGAAAAGTAAGGATCCTTTCAGCAAGTCCATGGAAAATGCTCTCTCTGAAACCTAACTTAGAGACCCAGAATGCATTTGATATGTCACAGGTTCTAGTAAGTCAAGAATTAGGAACTTGGGTAGCCTCATTCAACTCAACTGTCAATGAAAGATCCTTAGGAGGTGGTCTGAGGAGGTACTCTGAAGAATGATGCCATTCCACATCGTCCCTGATCTTTCCTCATGCCTCCTTTCCCACCACCACTTAGGTTCTCAGTATCTATCAGCGCAGTGACATTCTCTGCAAATGTCTAGGGAGGTGTATATGAAACCACTCAGGGTCATCTTGTGCATGTGAGGCCATCTGCACCTCCTGATGCCCTGCCAGAATTCCCTTTGTATTTCTGTGCTTTTGAGACCCAGGCCTTCCTGTATATGAGACTACTTGGCCTCTCTACCTCTTGAGTGCTGAGATTAAATTTGTGAGCCACGACACCTGGTTCTCACAGTTCTTGGTGTGTAAGAGGCCCTGCCCACTTGGAGCTTATAGGTCATAGCCAAGCTGAGAACTATTATAACCTAGGTACCACTGTTCAAATCCAGGTTCTTTATCAGTTTTTAGTATTTATTTTTATTACCATATATTAATCACACAAATGAGTGGATTTGATTATGGTCCATGTAAACAATATAGTTTGAGCATACTCATCCATGAAAATTTTTTTTGTTGTTGATGGGATAAACCATCTGTGTGGTATGCTGTCTCAACTTCTGTGTCATTGGTCTCTGACTAATAATACAATAGCGTCTCCCCATAGTATTGCCCACCATAGTTTCACTAACAAGGAAACAGGAAATGGGGATTGGAACATGAGTTCCAACAGGGCAAAACCGTTTCCTTTGGGGCTGGGCAGGCTCAGCTGTTCTCCTGTGTGGATCTGATGAGAGAGGCCAAGAACCCAACACAAGACACAGCCTAGGCAGGCAGCTGGAGTCCTGTGGGTTCTCTCCTCGAATGGTCTGTAACTGTTTTGTACCCACTGTATACTGGGCACTATTTGAGACCTGGAGATTCAGCAGTCACCAAAAGCAAGCAACGAGACCCCTGCTCTCAACTCTATCTTAGTAATTTCCTCCAGCATTTTCGAGGACTTGCTGTATGCCAGGCCCTGTCTTAGGCACTGAGTCTGTGGGTGTGAACTGCAGGAAGCTGTGGGCACTCATGGAGCACACATACTAGTGGTCATGGAGAAGGGACATTTCTGAGAGTTGAGAATTGACTTTACTTCATGAAGAGTAGCTCAGAAGAGATTTTTCGTAAGTAGCACATCTCGTCTAGGCAGCCAGAAGTCAGTTGGTTATCTGCTATTTCACCCATTGCATTCCAATATCCCAACCACTCCCAGACAAGAGAATCTATTGACTGCATGTTCACACTGCTGGTCTAGAATTTTCTCCCGTGTTTGTGCGATGGAAAAAGTGTAACATCAGGATCATTGCCTGGAAATGCTAATCTCAAGCTTCTGTCACGGGGAAATTTGTGGCCACGCATGCTCAGACTCGTCTTGATGACACATGCTGCCAGGCAGCAGGCAGACAGCTCAGAACTCAGCTCTGCCATGAACTGGCTTTTCAGCATTATGAAAGCTACTCAGCTCCGTTTGCTTGTATGGAAATGGCAGAGGAGGGAGGGGAGTAGAGGTGTGGTGTCATTTAATGCTTAAGGTGGGGCACTTGTTCAGTATCTCCTGTAGTTGTGGTCTAGTGCGTGATGCCTGGTTCTAAGTGTAAGTTAAGTAACTCTAGCTTGTACTGAAGTATAGGTAGTAGTAGTAGAACGGCTAGCTGGTATTTGAGTATATTTGAGTATTTCCTGTGAGAAAGTGTTGGGAGAGTAAGAGGGCTGTTATCCACACACGGTTTCCTTTCTAAGATGTTTTATTTAAATACTGCAACTCAGGACTTTTTAGAATATTTGCATATGGTACAAGTGTTTCATCAAGATGTAAGGACTTTAAGCTGGGGCAGCTGAGAACTGAGGTGTTGGGGGTTGAGTCTATCATTGAGGAAGATGTTTTCTAGATGATGACTTAATTGGAGATCTAACCACCTCCTCCTCTAGTTTGGAGTATCTAAGGCCTGATCAGAATCATTCCCTAAGAAGTAGGGGAAGCCAGACAGTGGTGGTGATGACACACGCTTTTAATCCTAGCATTCAAGAGGCAGAGGCAGGCAGATCTTTGTGAGGTCAAGGCCAGCCTGGTTTACAGAGAAAGTTCCAGGACAGTCAGGGCTACACAAAAAATCCTGTCTCAAAAGAAGGAGGAAGAGGAGAAGGAGGAGGAAGGAGGGGGAGGAGGCAACGGCAACACCTACAATGTTGAAAACGGAATTTGGGCATTTTCAGTGATTTAAAATAGAAGGCACAGAAAGACAAATAGTGTATGCCCTCAGCCATCAGAGGGAGTCACAAGAGTTGACATCATAGGAGAAAGTAGAAAAATGATTACTAGAGACTGAGAAGGTGTGAGATTGGGGAGGGGGAGGAGGTAATATGGGGAATTTGTATGACAGATGCCAACATACTGTCATGTAAAAGGAACATACTGTTCTGTAGCACAGTAGGATGACTGTAGTTTATCACACCTTAGATATTTTAAGAACTAGAAAAGAGGAATTTATAGGCTCTGAAATCAAAGATATGGTAGAAATGCAAATTTCTCTGATACATTGTGTACATGTAAATATATATAAGCCTGTGTCAATTAAAATAATTTTTGTTAGTTCTTTGAGAGTCTCATATAACTTGTTCTGATCATACTCACCCCGCCTTCCCAGCTCTTCTCAGATTCAGCACCCCCATTCCCCGCCCCCCAGATCTTCTCAGATTCAGCACCCTCATTCCCTACCCTTCCAACTTTGTGTCCTATTTTTTAACCCTTCAAGACTAATCTGTGCCGCCCATTTATTCTTGGATTTGTGGTCTTCCATTGGAATATGGTCT